CTCGGTATACAGCAAGTCTCAGTGTGGCCAGTGATTGGGGGTTGAGGTTGGTGATGAATAACCTAGAGATACTGGTGAAAAACCAAGCAGTGGAGGGCTTTGCATTCGAGGGGGATGAGGGAGTTGGACTTTGCTTTTTTTAAAGGCAGCAAGCACCACCAGAAGTTTTTGGGCAGGGCAGTGGCATAACCTTGAAGGACCGCTTTGAGAAAATCAAGGGCTCACCAGAGTTGGGTGGCAGGGAATTTCAGGAGTCCTCGAAGGAGATATCCTGGAGTGTTTGGCAGGGAGATTCAGGGGCCTGGCAGCCTCTGGCAGTGTAGACTTAGTGAAGGCTGGGTTTGGGAAATGACTAGCAAGACAGGGAGCTGAGAGTGCTGTCAGGCCTGCCTCCTGGACCTGTCCCCTGGGCAAGCTGCTTCAGTGAACTGTCTAAGCCTCTTTTCATGGAATCGGCAAAGTACAGCTAAGCTTCCTACCTGTCTCACAGGACTGTCTCGAGGACTCGTGATGGCAGATCGTGTCTGGTAGAGCGTGTAGCACAGCCTCGACTGTAAAGTGAGGACCCATAAATGTCAGCATCTTTTTCTAGTTAATATGGGAGACTCTTGGAGGATGCATCACGGAAAGCAGGTGATCCCAGTAGAGACTGGGAGGCCATTGCCCCGAAGCCTGAGGCTGGGCTGTAAGGAGGAGAAGGAGGATGAGGAGGAGCTTGAGGGAAGAGGAGTCTATTGTAGAAGAGAGGACAAAGCTGATATCCCAGCGAGGAAGATAGAGGGCAGCTCTGGGGGCGCTAGGTGGCATCCTCTGCCCTGCACCTGGCTCTGTACAGATGTGGTGAAGTCTGTAGAGGAACAAAGATTCCCTTTTAAGCCTCACCTTGATGGCATCTGGTCAGGAAGTTTTCAGGAGGAGGGAGCCACCAGGCTTGGTCCACAGAGGGACTGGCTGTCTCTTTCTTTGCTGTTAAAAAAAAAAAGCCCCCAGGGAGTCAGATGGCTGATGCCTATGTTTGCTCTCACCATGGATGTATTGATGAATGTCAGGACTTTACCCAGGGATAGCCTCCCCCGCCCATGGAGAAAAAGCTGTCGTTCTGGGGATTTACACAGAACATTGAGGAACATTGAGGATCATGGGACAAACATCACCTGCCCAATGGCGGGGAGGGCTGCATATGAGTGCACTGATGCCAGAAGGAACACAATGTGCTTCTGGTCCCCTGGGAATGGGACTTCAATGCTTGGCTTCTCTCCAGCTGATAAGGAGTGAGGGCAGCAGATTCCATAGAGAGTGACTTCTCTTCCTTGAATGACTTCCTCTATGGGGAAAGGACTAAAGGTCTCTTTCTAGAACTGCGCACACATTAGCTTTTTGTCTCAGCACTGGCTCAGGTAATAGCCATATCCCCCCATCAATAATAAAAACAATGACTAATCTCCAGAAAGCACAGTGCCATCTTCTGGGATTCTTTCTCCTCTGCTCAGGCCTTGATTTCACCCCAGGCTGTCTTCTCCATCGTGAGAGGAAATTGCAAGAATCTGGTCACGCTTACATGTTTGTCTCCATTTTTTTCTGCTGACCTCCAAATTTTTCTAAGTGATTATTGGAAAGCTGTGGCAGGTGCCTCAACTTAGCAGAAGAGAACTTGCTGTTGGGTACTATTGGATAATACCTGCCCAGGTCCTCTGTACAGGACACTGGGGGGTGGCGTTCAGGTGTCCCCACCATTACCGTATCCCTCATGACCATCTTCACCATCAGTGGCCTCTCTCCTGAACCAATAGTTTTCAAGGAAGGCAGCTTTGCTGCTTCTGTTTTTTCCTCATCTACAGCCAGAGTTACCGCTCTCAAACAGAAACATTCAGCGGCTTCCTGGACTCCAGAGCCAGATTGCCCCTTCACCACCATGTTCCCACCCACTTACTCAGCCTTCCCTCTTTTTCCTGTGGGCCCCACCATGAGCCTTGTCTCCAGCACACCCACCATGTGCTCAGGCCTCCATGTCTCTGCCAGGTTGGGCCCTACTCCCTACCAAATGGAAGTAGCCCTTTCTGTTCCATGGGAGGGACACATGTGAGTGCAGCAGGAAGATCACACACGGGTGACAAGCAGGAGCCTTCAGATGAAGAGCTGTGACACAGAGTCCTTTCTCATCCTCACAGAGTCCTCAGAGCAACTCTTAGAAGATGGGCCAGGTGTGTTCCAATCACTCTCACAACTGACTAACACACCCGACTCCTCCTGACTTTTTCTGACCCTCCTCCTCCTCTTCATCCTCCTTGTACTCCTCCTTGTCCTCTTCCTCCTATTCCACCTTCCTCCTCTTCCATCTTCCCCTCTCTTTCCTCCTCCTCCACAGCCTGGGCTATCTGCTGCCTCTCCAAGAGGCACAGTCAAACTAAGACTCTTGGGTAGGAACTGTCACTGTTACATGTGAAAGTGTAGCAGGCTCTAGACTGTCCTAAACTCCCTCCCCCACCCACTCGTGTGTTTCTTTTTTTCTCTGCTTTGATTTTTCTCAAGTAGGAGAGAATGTTCATTCTTCTCTCAGCCTTTTGAAGCCGGGCTGCTCCGGAGGTGGTTGTCCCTGGGGTCCCACGCTGCCTGCCTGCAGTCTTTGTCCAGGGGCTCGCACATGTGACCCTCAAATTTGGGGGCTGTTGGGCTCACAGGCCACCTGGCTGTTATAGAGCTTTCTCTGGAGTAGTGTGCAGGCCTCTGTGTTCAGCTCCACACACAGCTTCTGTTTCTGTTTGAGAGCGGTAACTCTGGCTGTAGATGAGGAAAAAACAGAAGCAGCAATGCTGCCTTCCTTGAAGCTACAGAGGACCTGGTCAACACTTCTGATGGGGGGCAGGAGTACTGTGTCCTCAAACCCTGTCAGTGCTGAGCCTCAGTGTCCTGGGCCCCATATATCTGGAGAATGTGGGGCGGGAGGCTGTCTCTCCTGGCATGAGCACTATCACTTCCAACCTGGGGGTCTGGGTCTGTCGTCTTGAGAGGTCCCGTTGTCTCTCTGAATGAGTGAAATGAATGGAAATGATCTATGATGTGAGCTCACTCAATTTGGGGGGAACCACCCAGGTGCTTTCCTCCTTTTGAATAACTGGCCTTTGTGAGTGCTGACCACGAGTCAGCCTCTCTCTGCAATAGTGGGTGGGAGGGACAGTGCTGCTGGGCTTCGGTGGGCATTTTTAAGGGAAGGGTCCCCAGATAGCCCTCCAGAGAGGTGGCCACTGCTCCCCCCAACCCCCGCTGCTTACACACAGTCTTAGCCAGATCAGGCCACTGCAACCAAGCCACAGACCCAGCGGCTTCAACAAGAGATTCTTCTCACAGTTCTGGGGCTGTAAGTCCAAGATCAAGGTGCCACCAGCTTGGTTCCTGGTAAGGTTTCTCTTCCCGGCTTCACTGTGCCTCACGTGGTAAAGGGAGAAAGGAAACTCTGGTGTCTCAAATAAGGGTACTAATCCCATCATGGGGACCCCACCCTCATGACCTCCTCTTACTCCAACTACACCAGACAGCTTTCAGGTGCAGGAATGCAGTCTTCTGAGGCCATGAGATGGAAAGGACGCCTCCCTTGAGCCACTACCCACTGGTCACTGTGGCTCCTGATGTCCCAGCTATGGTGGCAGCAGCCAAGTTGTGGTGGCCAACATTCCTTGAGCCCCTGCTATGCGTCCCAGCTGTCTTACATGAATTGTCTTATTTACTCTTCACACAAATTAAATCAAGACAGTACTGTTATTACCTCCAGTTACCAATACAAAAACCGAAACATAGAGGGTTAAGTATTGGACACAAGACCATCCTCATCAGCAGCAGGATGTGGCTGCACGCCTGGCTCTGTTTGCAGCACAGTGGCTCTGTGAGCCGTGGTCCTGCACACCGGGTCTGGGGAAGGATGGGGGTGGACAGCGTTCAGTCACCCTCCTGCTGCAGAGGGTGGTGTCTGGGTCTCTGGTTCTTCACATAGTAAAGGCAGCGTACCAGATCAGAAGCCACATTTCCACCTGTCTTTGGCTAGAGCAATTGAACAATGAGGGACTTCGGACCATCTTATATGAGTCTAATCATTTTAGGGTAGAATTCACCTGCTCTCAACTCCGAGTACTGCAGGCCAGGATAGTGGTGTCTGCCCACTTTTTCTTGGAAAGCATGTGAAATTTACCGCTTTGAAATCAGCTCTCAGCTGTTCCTGTTTCCTGCCCATAGGCCCCAGTGAAGAGTCTGCTCAGAGCCAGTCACCTCATTCATAGCCAGAACTTCCCAAATGCTCAAGTCTTTGTGTCCCCTCCCAGATCAGAGCAGAGGCTTCAGGGGTGATTCTTGTGTTTCTCCCACAGAAACATGTTCACTGGTTTAGTAACAATGTGATGGTTCAGTAAGTATGCCACGGTTTCATCTGTATAAGTTACACCAAGAATATTTTACAGCCACTGTCTATTGTATTCATGAGTGTTTGTTTATTTGGTGTCTAAGGAGGATTTCGGGAGTGAATGGGCAGGGAGCATTTAGAGGCATTGCCCTCCTGGCCTCTGCAGTGATTCACCACATTGGCTGTGCTTCCACTGGGACCAGCCACTCTCTGGACGGGCAGAGGCTGATTGCTCCTTTCTTGAGTCCTGGAACTAGCAGTGTAGACTGTACAGGCCCGCTTTGTCCTCCTCTTTGACTGTAATGAATGGGCTGGCCAGGTGCTAGAACAAATTTCACAAACTCCATTGTGCCCCTCAGGAAGAGCAGGTGCAGACGGCAGGCCAGGAAACACTGCTTGGGTTGTGTGTACCCGGGGTGCTGATGAGACCAGCACAAAGTAGGCACAGAGGCCAGGGCATGAGTGCTGTTCCACTCCCTCGGGCCAGGAAAGATGAAATGGGTCTATCTTTATTGGAATAGCCTGGAAGAAAAAGGGTTCCCACTTCCCATGAAATGACTATGGAAGCAGTGTTTCACTTGTTTGAGGGAAAATTCTTTTTCTTGTCTACTTACAGGAAGAAGCAGTTGCCAAGTTGATGCCATCGTGCAGTGTGTTTGCTTGAGACAGAAGCTTTTGCATCTGCTGGAACAATTGGAGAAAGAAATATGAAGCCTTAGCAGCATCACCCAGGAAGCAAGCTCTGAGATGGCTGCTCAGAGAATCCGAGCTGCCAACTCCAACGGCCTTCCTCGGTGCAAGTCAGAGGGGACCCTGATTGACCTGACTGAAGGGTTTTCTGAGTCAAGCTTTAATGACGTTAAAGGTGAGCCTCTGGGAACTGTACAATGACTGAGGGAGAAGACTGGTTTTTGCAAGACCTCAGACCCAAGAACTTTACTACTGTATTTCATTTTATTTTTTGAATTATGATCTCACTCTGTTACCCAAGCTGGAGTACAGTGGCACAATCACAACAAGATCACGGCTTACGGCAGTCTCGACCTCCTGGGCTCAGGCGATCCTTCCATCTCAGCATCCCAAGTAGTTGGGACTACAGGTGTGCGCCACCATGCCTGGCTAATTTTTTTATTTTTATTTTTTGTAGAGAAGGTTCTGCTGTGTAGCTCAGACTGGTCTCAAACTCCTGGGCTCAAGCAATCCACCGGTCTCAGCCTTCCAAAGTGCTAGGATTACAGGTGTTAGCCACCTTGCCTGGCCCTTTACTACTTTAAAGACTGCCAATTTCGCATTCAAATAAGTAAACATGGCTGGACTAGGTGGCTCAGCCTATAATCCCAGCACTTTGGGAGGCCAAGCTGAGTGGATTGCCTGAGCCTGCATGTTCGAGACCAGCCCCGGCAACTTGAGAGACCTCATCTCTACAATAAATTGAAAAAATTAACTGTGCATGATAGTATACTACTTGGAAGGCTGAGGCAGAAGGATCACCAGAGCCCAACAGGTCGACGCTGGGTTGTTCATAAGTGTGCCACTGCACTCCAGCCTGGGCGATGGAGTGAGACTCCAACTTAAAATAAATAAAATAAGTAAATTTTAGCTCTCCAAAGTTCATCATGTTACAAATTCAGCCCTGGAACAATTGTTACTGTCTCATTTTGTGGTATGTTGGAAGGAGGTTTTGAATGACCCTCTTAGTAATGAAGCCCCTTCTTAAAACAGGATATGCTTGTTTTTCTCTTGATGAGTTTTGGAGACATGAAGGGAGGGAGCTGGTTGGGACAAAAACCTAAGAGAAAGAATAGTGTGATCAGTCGATGAAATATTGAGAACCACTAGAGAAGAAAACAGGTGGTCTAGGACAAGGGTCAGCACACTTTCTCTAAAGGATCCAACTGTAAATATTTTAAGCTCTGCAGGCCATAAGACCTCTGTCACAGCTATTCAGTGCTGCCCTTGCAGTGCGAAAGCAACCGTATACACAGGTAAACAAACAGACATGACTGTGTTCCAAGACAGCTTTATTTACAAAGCCAGCCAGCCATGGGTCCGTGATTTGCCAACCCATGATCTAGAAGATGACCCCAGGGTTTAATAGCCCCGGCTCCCTGGGTTTCTCCAGTGGGCTCATAAAATTGGGTTAATGAGAAAACCTATCTTTTGGACACTGAAGTGGATACTCATGTGTCGTTTTCTTCCTAGACATCTCCCTGACCTAGGCCATGCTCAGCCTCTTGTGTGCCCCTCTGGAGCTTGTACAGCTGCCACAGTGGCAGCGTCCTCATCAATATCGCCCTTCGCCCTACGTCAGGTTTCTCTTAGCGTTTACCACATTCTGTTGAAATTCCCTGTTGTCCTGTCTGGAGCATAGTCGAACAGTAGGGTCTTTATCTTTGTATCCTTAGCCCCTGGCACAAAATCAGGTGCTAATTAAATGTTCCTTGAACTAAACTGCTGTCCCCCAGATAAAATTGTGGCCCTCTTCTCTGATGCACTAAAAATTATACGGACCATGTTTACGTATGTCCAGTTGGTTAGCTTCTTCCTTCTGTTTTATCTCTAGCATCTTCTCTGTCTCTAGTGTCTGCTTGCAGCCCTGAGCATTGCTGTAAATGTTCTATAAAAGACCTGACTAGCTAAAGGAGCCCTGAGATTTTATTAATAGAATAGCAACAATTATTGGGTGTTACTATAAATAACTGGAGTGTTTATTTTTCAGATTTCATTAGTGAGCACTGTTTTCTTACTTTATAGCCCAACTAATCAGAGTTAAAGATAGAAAATGTGTGCACGGATTGTGTGGTTTGGGCAGGGTCTTAAAGCGAGGGTCAGAGCGCTGAATTTTTTTTTTTTTTTTTTGAGTCAGAGTCTTACTCCATCGCCCAGACTGGAATGCAGTGGCACACTCATGGCCACCCCAGTGTCAACTTGCTGGGCTCCAGCAATCCTTCTGCCTCAGCCTTCCAAGTAGCTGGAACTACAGACACATGCTACCGCACCAGCTAGTTTTTGATTGATTGTAGAGACAAGGTCTCGCCAAGTTGCCAGGGCTGGTCTTGAACCTGTGGGCTCAGGCAATCCACTTGCCTTGGCCTTCCAAAGTGCTGGGATTATAGGCTGAGCCACTGAGCCTGGCTGAGAGCTGAATTTTTAAAAAATATTTATAATACTCTTGGAGGAAATATTGGCTGTTATCCCTAAATGAATCCTGAAGATTGGGAAGGAAGACACACAAGACAGCCTCAAATGTGTGGTTTCCTTGAGAGGAGGAAGGGTGTTTGAGAATCCGAGAGTGAACAGGACCATGGAACCTCAGGTGAGACCAGAGACCCTTTGGACTCTGTTGCCGAAGCATAGCATGTGACCCTGGCTCATTCCCGCCAGCCACCTCACATACACCCTGATGACAGACAGACGTCAAAGTGGGAATTTATTCCAGCCAAAATATCTGCTGCGGGATCTTCTGCCCTGATCAATGTTTTGTCTGCATAAGGACTTAGGCAGAGGGATAGAAAATGTATTATTCAGTACACTGAATTTCCTGACACCCAGGGAGGTTTTTTGTATTAAAATCAAGGTGGCTGTGAATCTGGGCATCACTCTGCAGAATTCATTAAGATGGAATTCGATAGAGATTTTCTGGCATTTGATGGGATGCAAGCCCTTCCGCAGTGTCCCCAGGTGCTCGGTGGCAGTTGACTGAGGGAGGACCTTGTCTAGAAGGGAGTTCACACCACAGTCCCACTCCCTGGGGGTCCGGAACAGGGACTGATTTCCCCTGGAGAAGCCTGGTCCTTGAGTGAAATCTATTACCACTTCTCTTCTAAGGAGAATGCTTGGAATTTTAAATGAAACCATTCCAATTCTTCAGTCTGATAAAACTGAAATTATTATTTGCATTGATACATGTTAAGCTATGCACAAAGTTTGCTTAATGGCTTTGGGTTTTTTTTAATTTTGAAAATGTTACTGTGAGGGAATTATTCTTGGGGAGCATAATAAGGATATAACTTTTGAGGGATTCTAGCAATATTTTAATGACTGGCAAGCTTTATTTTCAGTTGGTTTTCACTTTTATGTGACATTCCTAGTAGATGTGTCAAGGAGACAAAAAGGTTGATATTGCTGGAGACCATGACCAGCAACGGAAATGAGGGGGAAGAGCCTGTGTACCCTCTACCCTCAGCCTGACCTACGTCCCTTCTTCCCACTTCTCCATCAAAGGAATGTTCTCTCACTTGGCTGTTTTTGTTTACTCCCATCCCATATTAAGTGATTTGTCTGTTTGTCATTTTTCGGCATAAGAGCACGGCCAGAGGTAATTCTGGCTTTGCTTTGACCAATACCATGATGTAGTAACATACAAGGGGGACCCCAATAAACCAGAATTTTTGTATTTAAAATTGTGCATTTATTCTTATATGTTTAAACTCCACAGTCACCTTCAAAGTACTCTCTGTTTGATGCAATACACCTATCAAGATGCCTTTTCCATTACTGCAGTTTTTAACTCATCCATTTTGATGCCTTTTAGTAATTCTGCTATTTTTTTGTCTCACTTCTTCCATATCAGCAAACGTTTCCCTTTGAGGATTTTTTTCATTGGGGAAACAAAAAAGTCACTCTGGGCAAGCCCCATGAATTGGGAAGATAAAGCACAGCAGGGGGCTCATAATTTTTTTTTTGTCAAAAATTCCTAAACACTCAGTGCAGCAGGTACGTTGTCATGGTGGAAGAACTAGTCACCTGTTTGCTACAACTCGGGACATTTCTTCCACAAATCGTGACACAGCCTTCTCAAAACTTCCAGATAAAAGTTTTTGTTGACCATTTGACCCAGAGGAACAGATTCCGCATGTACTACAAGAGGCCTGGCTTCGAAAATATAATTTTGGGGGATCCCTCCTCATAGATGTGGCCTCTCTGTGTTGTTTAAGCATGCACGATGACCATTCATTCCAGGAGTATCCACTGAGCCCCTGCTACATGCCAGGCCTTGTGTGAGGTGCCAGGAATACAACAGCAAGCAAAACAAGCTCTAATGAAGCTTATACTCTAATGGGGAGATGGACTTCCCCCCCCAAAAAAACAAATCTTAACGCATGTAAGGAAGGAAAAAATTCTGAGTTTTTTACTTGAGCCCCATAACAATAGATTAACAAGAAAAAAAAGCATGCAAATTTATTTAATGTATATTTTATGTTAATATATGTATGTCTTAAGTATATTATGGTATATTTCATATGTGTTTCCTCATAAGGAAATGAAGACTTGAAGAAATAGTTAAACCTGAGTGTTTTTGTCCCAGGTTTGATGAAATGTGGAGCGTCGTGGAGAAATGTGCTCCAAGTATGAACCAAGTGTAGTGAACTAGGGGGAGCAGCAAGGCCTGTGTGTTTAGAATCTTTGTGTCTTTGGAAAGGAGGATGCCCCTTTCCTGCAAGTGTAAGGGGGACCTCTCTCACATGACGGTCTTATAACCTGCTTCAGGGGAAGATCAGAGATTCCTTCCTGCATCTGCTGTTTCTCAGTTTCCTTCAGCATGAAATATTCATGGTGCCATATTTTGGGATAGTGTGTTCTCAACCCCATCAGGTACATGATACAGTGGTTGGTAAAAACAGCTGTGGAGAAAAATAACATCAGAAGGCAGGTGGAGATGTCTATTCACATACCCTTTTTGTTGTGAGCCCTTACCTTGGGTTAAGTATCATTATGCTAAACACCTTATCCACATCATTTCATTTTATCCTCACCAAAGCCCATTGAGGAAAGATGCTTTTTCTCCATCATGAATAATGTTAGGCTTCAGAGCTCACACAACTCCTAAGAGCCTCGATTCAAGTCCAGATCTAGTGATTCCCAGAGCCAACTGAAACACCCCAATCAGACAACCCGGTGTGATTTTATAGAAGTAGGTGAGGCTTCAAGACCCAAGGATGCTCCCAGCCAAGCACATCTCTATTAATGTAAATTAATAGAGACTCCCTACCTGACTTACTAAGACTTTGCAGAAAAAATATAATTTAATGCTTATTATTTCCTTTTAAAGGAAAAGCAACCAACTTTTTTTTTATAAAGAGGCTAATATGATAGAATAGGATGACTGTTAGCTTAATTACATATTAGAAAAGATGTAGATTTCTTTCAGCTAAAGATGTAGTCCTTTCTTTGCTCATTTGCATAGGCAACTAAAAAAAATGTTTCCTTTCTTTCAATTGTTTGTTACCAGAAACCAGTATATCAGCAAACTCTGTAAATGAGGCAATTTTGGGGGGAGGCTGGAGGGGAGTCCTGGAGAGAAGTATGTGGGCTTATTTCCATCAGAAGGAACTTCCTTCATCCTCTGAATATGCTTTCTATTGTAGGGGAAGGAGAGAAAACACTTTTATATTTAATCATTACCTCTTATTTTTCAAAACACACACCATTTGTTTAGGTGATTTATTTTTGCTATTTCATTTTCTGTCTAACATTGGTAACATACATTTGAATGTCAAGAACCATACATTAACTTGATTGACTTTTTAAAGTGCTAGAATTTTTTTAACTGCTTATTATAGTAATGTGAATTATGGCTAGTCATAACCTCTGATTTTCAAGGTATGTGGACAGTTGGCTTTCATGTTGTGATTTTTGAATAATCATTTAAAAGAGGTTGAGAGAGACTGACCCCAGAAATTATATTTCATCTAAACAAACAGTCTGGTGAGGAATAGGTTGAACTTGAAAACTGAAGAACCGGGCCTGATTGTCAAGGAAACCTTTTCCCCATTTACGCATCTTGTGTTAAAGACAGAACTTGAAATCAGCTCATACACATTCCTGAGAGAGATTTTTGAGGCTGTTCATTTCCAGTCCCCTGTTACATTCAGTGGTCACCTAACTAACTCATAACCTCACCATGTTTTCTAAGTAAGTCACATTCGGCTTCTCTGTACCTAGTAGCAGCTCTTCAGTTAGATCAAGTAAACGTTGGTCAGGCCGGGCTCACTGGCTCAGTCTGTAATCCCAGCGCTTTGGGAGGCTGAGGTGAGTGGATTGCCTGAGCCTGCGGGTTCAAGACCCGCCTGGCCAACTTGGCGAGACCTCATCTCTACAATAAATCAAAAAATTAGCCGGGCGTGGTAGCACATGCCTGTAGTTCCAGCTGCTTGGAAGGCTGAGGCGCAAAGGATCACCGGAGCCCAGCAGGTCGAGGCTGCAGTGGCCAGGAGTGGCCACTGGACTCCAGTCTGGGTGACAGAGTGAGACTCCAACTCAAAAAAAAAAGAAAAGAAAATGTTGGTCAAAATGATATGTTTAGAATATAGGGACATGTTCAGTATTCCATTGTACTGGTTCACCTTTCTGTGGGTGACAGAGAGATTCTCTTTGTGATTTTTCTGTCTAATTTAGACCATCAAATTGGAAAGTGTACCAGTGGCAAGGTTGCTCATGTGAGTCTGTTCCTTGGCCAGGTAAATTGTGTCCTGAACTTTGGCTTTTTTCTGTTGGTCACTTGCCTGGGTTGTTGTCCATATCTCTCTCGCTACTTTCACAAGTGTTCTGGGGCTCCCACTGGCCTTGCCTCACCATCTGTGTCTTTGTGTTTTACGCAGTGCCTTCTCCCAGTGCCTTGCTAGCAGACAACCCCACACCTTTTGGAAACGCAAAGGAAGTGATCGCAATCAAGGACTATTGCCCCACTAACTTCACCACCCTGAAGTTCTCCAAGGGTGACCACCTCTATGTCTTGGACACGTCAGGCGGTGAGTGGTGGTATGCACACAACACCACTGAAATGGGCTACATCCCTTCCTCCTATGTGCAGCCCTTGAACTACCGGAACTCAACACTGAGCGACAGCGGCATGATTGACAATCTTCCAGACAGCCCAGACGAAGTAGCCAAGGAGTTGGATCTGCTGGGAGGGTGGGTGGATGACAAGAAGGGATTGGGCAGAACGTACAGTAATAACCCTTTCTGGAATGGGGTCCAAACCAACCCATTTCTGAATGGGAACATGCCGGTGATGCCCTGCTTGGATGAGCTGAATCCCAAAAGTACTGTGGATTTGCTGCTTTTTGATACGGGCACATCGTCCTTTACTGAATCCAGCTCTGCCACCACAAATAGCACCGGCAACATCTTTGATGAGCTCCCAGTCACAAACGGACTCTACACAGAGCAGCCGGTCAAGCGGGACAACCCCTTCTTCAGAAGCAAGCGCTCCTACAGTCTGTCGGAGCTCTCCGTCCTCCAAGCCAAGTCCGAGGCTCCCGCATCGTCAAGTTTTTTCACGGGCTTGAAATCACCTGCCCCTGAGCAATTTCAGAGCCGGGAGGATTTTCGAACCGCCTGGCTAAACCACCGGAAGCTGGCTCGGTCTTGCCACGACCTGGACTTGCTTGGCCAAAGCCCCGGTTGGGGCCAGACCCAAGCCGTGGAGACAAACATCGTGTGTAAACTGGATAGCTCTGGGGGTGCCGTGCAGCTTCCAGATACCAGCATCAGCATCCACGTTCCCGAGGGCCACGTTGCCCATGGGGAGACGCAGCAGATCTCCATGAAAGCCCTGCTGGATCCTCCGCTGGAGCTCAACAGCGACAAGTCCTGCAGCATCAGTCCCATACTGGAAGTTAAACTGAGCAACCTGGAGGTGAAAACCTTCATCATCTTGGAGATGAAAGTTTCAGCCGAGGTGAAAAATGACCTTTTTAGCAAAAGCACAGTGGGCCTCCAGTGCCTGCGCAGTGACTCCAAGGAAGGGCCGTATGTATCCATCCCACTCACCTACAGTTATGGGGACACCATCCAGGTACAGCTGCACAACCTGGAGCCCTGCATGTACCTGGCTATTGTTGCCCATGGCCCAAGCATCCTCTACCCTTCCACCGTATGGGACTTCATCCATAAAAAAGTCACAGTGGGTCTCTACGGCCCCAAACACATCCACCCATCCTTCAAGACAGTGGTGACCATTTTTGGGCATGACTGTGCCCCAAAGACGCTCCTGGTCAGCGAGGTCACTCGCCAGGCCTCCAGCCCTGCCCCAGTGGCCTTGCAGCTGTGGGGTAAGCACCAGTTCGTTTTGTCCAGGCCCCAGGATCTCAAAGTCTGCATGTTTTCCAACATGACAAATTACGAGGTCAAAGCCAGCGAGCAGGCCAAGGTTGTGCGAGGCTTCCAGCTGAAACTGGGCAAGGTGAGCCGCCTGATCTTCCCCATCACCTCCCACAACCCCAACGAGCTCTCCGACTTCACGCTGCGGGTGCAGCTGAAGGACGACCAGGACGCCATCCTGACCCAGTTCTGCGTCCAGACTCCCCAGCCACCCCCTAAAAGTGCCATCAAGCCGTCTGGGCAGAGGAGGTTTCTCAAGAAGAATGAAGTTGGGAAAATCATCCTGTCCCCGTTTGCCGCCACCACCAAGTACCCGACTTTTCAGGACCGCCCGGTGTCCAGCCTCAAGTTTGGTAAGTTGCTGAAGACGGTGGTGAGGCAGAACAAGAACCACTATCTGCTGGAGTATAAGAAGGGCGACGGGATTGCCCTGCTCAGCGAGGAGCGGATCCGGCTTAAGGGGCAGTTGTGGACCAAGGAGTGGTACATCGGCTACTACCAGGGCAGGATCGGCCTGGTGCATGCCAAGAACGTGCTTGTGGTTGGCAAGGCCCGGCCCAGCCTGTGCTCGGGGCCCGAGCTGAGCACGTCAGTGCTGCTGGAGCAGATCCTCCGGCCCTGCAAGTTCCTCACCTACATCTACGCCTCCGTGAGGACCTTGCTCATGGAGAACATCAGCAGCTGGCGCTCCTTTGCCGACGCCCTGGGCTATGGGAACCTGCCTCTCACCTTTTTCTGCCGGGCGGAGCTGGACAGTGAGCCCGAGCGGGTCGCGTCTGTTCTGGAAAAGCTGAAGGAGGATTGTAACAACACGGAGAACAAAGACCGGAAGTCCTTCCAGAAGGAGCTCGTGATGGTGAGTGCTTAGAGAGCATTCGGGGAAGGGGCTCGGGTCAGCCTTTCCGAGATAGGCTTGGGCATGGGGTGTGGCACTGTGAATCACTGGGACAGGTTCCGTGGCTGATGGTTGGCTGCCTGAAATAGATGTACAAGGTTCAAAGTGTGCAACTGGAGGTAGGAGTTTACATCGGGGACCCCAGACAACCCAGGAACCCCTGCAGAGAAGAGCATCCCAGTCTCTGTTCCTGCTGAATTTGTGAGTTCCTCAAGAGTCTCAGAATGGACAGAAAGGGGACAAGAAAGGGGGTGTGCCCGCCATGTCTGCTTAGATATCTTGAGAGCAAATCCATGGTTTATCAGATTCCCAGTGGAGCTGGTAACTCCAAATCTTCAGAACCTCAGTCCCAAAGCCTATTTTGATGGGGATTTTTCCCTCCTTCTCTTCTTTGAAGCTTCTGCCATCTCTCTGTGTTGCAGTTTCTGCTTCCCCATCTTTGTCTTGGTTTGAGTGGGGGTTAGGATAGCCTTTGTTTCGCCAGCCCAGCTGTGAATTAGAATTGTAAGAAATGGAAGGGGGAAGTGAGTATCACGCTGTGGGATATGCCCTGGCCCACAAGCCAACTGGAAAGTGCCTATTGAACCACTTCCAAGTCCCCTCCAGGTCTGGGCTCTATCCCAGCCCCAATGCCCACAGCAGCCCCACAGTTGTAACTGCTGAGTTTTGGTGGGCTTTTTGGGGAACCTAGTTGTAACCTTTTCTTGGCATCCCCTGAGGTATCTGTGGTAGTATTAGCTCCCGTCCTCCTGATACGGACACATCCCTGGTTTTAATTTCTATGTAGAAACCTTTGTGATTGTCATACACCCGTCTTCGTGGCCTCTTTCACCTCCTGGCTGCTTTACATAAGGTGCAGTTCTGCTGGCTCTCCTACTCCCCTCGTCTGCCTAGCACCTACGATCCTGTATGGGTACATCCTATAAGTGGGGAGCCCTGGGCGTCTGGTAGAGTCTGGAGATGCTGGTGTCGATGCAGGTGTACATTGGAGGGTCACATATTGCACACACCCATCTCAGCTGCCCACGGTGAGCTGGGGACACAGAGGGTTGAGGCCACTGGCACGGTCACCATGTAGAGTGTGCATGCAGCCTGTAGGAGTGGTTATGAAGACCCTCTGACAGCAGCCCACAATTATGGGTGACACCAGAAGCTTGGAGTGGACGACAACTGGAGATTGCCCAGGGGAGGGAGATGGAACTGGAAACAGCAGTTAGGAGGGCCACCATAGCAACCAGGAGTTACTGCAGGTATATGGGAAGGAAGCTAAGGGAGATAGCAGAAGGGCCTCCCAGACCCCACTTGGGGTCACTCACGGGGATGACTCACATTCCTTCCTTTGGCCATCACCCGTATGTGGTTCAGAGCACACTTCCCAACTGTGGATATGCCCTGGCCTACAAGCCAACTGGAAAGTGCCTACTGAACCACTTGTCAACTAAGTCTCCAGAAGCTTGTGCCAACCCACATTGCCTGGTCTCCATGAATAGACTTAGCACAGCGGCTAAGGGTGTGCCTCCCTGTGAGTGCCTCCAAGCAGACACGCCCTCCATCTTGTAACAGTACATCCACCTTGAATGGGTGGAGACAGAAAATGAAATGAAGTGGAAAATGAAATGGCCTCAGCAGCCCCTCACCGGTTATGGAAAAATCATAACAGAGGCAATGGCTTTTGTATTCATTTCCTTCTAATTTTTTTTTTCCAGAAGACTTAAGTGATCAAACTTTTTATTACCCTTGGTGAACATTCTCTGGGAAAGGATATTTTTTAGAGGGCTTCCTTGGGCAAGTTCGTGTGAGGAATGGGGTCCTGGAGTCCCGCTCCCCTCCTCTGCCCAGAAAGGAGGAAGTGAAACTTGGCTGGGACGTTTCCCTGAGGCAAGGTTAGATTTTGTAGTGAAGTGAAACTGGTTTTGCCATGTCCCCACCCCCCCATCCCCTACCTCTCTCAGTGATTTCTAGAAACCACAGACAGATTTATCCCAGCATGTTTAAGAGCTCCTGGAAAACAGGTGTTTTATTCCTACAGATTTGTCATCACTGGACAGTCAAGTTTCCTGTGGCCTCAGCCACTGCTTCACCTGCCCCTCCCTGGCCAGGACACCCTGACCCCCTTCTTGTTTAGAGAATCACTTTGTATTCAGTTATTCTGACTCCTTGGTTTGGAAACAGTGTTTAAATGCATGAGAAAGGGGAAAGGTTTGGGACAATTTGCAGGGAAGGAAAGAATAATCAAATAAGAACTGAGTAGTTCATCTCTTTATGGTCATCCCAGTGGGCCCATCCTCCTGGCTCTGCCCCACAGGACCCTGGAAGATCTGCCCCTGCCAATCTTAGTCTCACCCCTGGGGGCCTATCATTTTCCTGTATCTGGAACTCAGCAGGCTGACTTCTGGTCTTCAGGGCCTGGAAGCTGACTCCCTTTCCCCTCAGGGCCTAGAATCTCACTCTTTCTCCCCTTTAACGTCTAGACTCCTTCTCCCCTCGGGTTCTAGAGACTGACTCTTCCTCCCCTCAGGACCTGGAGGCCAAGTCCTCCTCTCCTTCAGTAGCAGCTCAAATGTCATCTCTCAGAGCTATCCTTTCCTGCAACCCTGTGCCCTTGGGTCCCTGCGCACCCCAGCATCCCCTGCCATTGTCTCTGCAGTGCTTTCTTGAATCAGAAACAGTCTTGTTTACTTAGTGTACTTGTCTATCGATATTACCCTAATCGGACATGTGATCCCTGAGAGGAAGGACTCTGCACATAGGGAATGCTCACATATTCCATGAGTGAGTAAATGAATGAATAAGTGGTGAATGCAGGCCTCAGCCCGGGCTGGAAATCCAAGCTGGATGTATTCCTGCGTAACCATATTGTGCCTCTCTTTTCTGGTTCCCTTCCCGCTTTCCGTTGTTTTGTTTTGTTTTGTTTTGTTTTTTGAGTTGGAGTCTCTGGATCTGCTGGACTCCGGTGATCCTTCTGCCTCAGCCTTACGAGTAGCCGGAATTAGAGGCATGCGCTACCACGCCTGGCTGATTTTTTGATTTTATTGTAGAGATGAGGTCTCGCCAAGTTGCCCAGGCGAGTCTCGAACCCGTGGGCTCAGGCAATCCACTCACCTCAGCCTCCCAAAGCATGGGATTACAGGCTGAGCCACCAAGCCCGGCTGCTTTCCGTTGTTTTATTGCCTGTTTTTAATAGCAGAGCCCAGGTGCAAGGCATCTTGTGTAATCACACGGGTCTTTATTGCCTGTGCCACCTCCTTCTCACACACGTGGTTGTGGCTGTACCCAAGCCTGTCCCTCTATCCCCGGCCAGCCTCACTCTCATCAGAGCCACAACTGTCCACAGTGGCAGAGGACAACCCAACACTAGGATTCCCCCAAACCATAGTGAAAGTAAGGGACTTGAACGCCCTGGGTGTGACTGCACAGATTCAGTGGAAGGAGCCAGGTGGGCATTTGAGGTTGCTGAAGGAATTGCTGGGGTCTCTGTGCTGAGGTGGGATGTTCAGGAGACATTGGAGTGGGCAGCTCATATTTGAAAAGCTTTTCAAGTCAGTTTTATTGGTGGCGGAAGAATAGGCTGACTGGGTAGAAGGCCGTGGCCACAGCGTCTAATGCAGAAACAGAAAGAGCAGCCACAAGACAACAGGGCCAGAATGGGTGTAGCGCTTGGTGCCAATTTGGCATCTCTGTAGTTCCTGCTGGGGGTTGCACTTCCCGAGAACATGAGGAAGACAGTGGACAGCCATGGAGTCGTGGAACAGACTTGTGAGGGGCCCGAGAGAGAAGGGTCTTCCAGGCGTGGGGGGATAAGGGAAAGGCATGTAGGGACAGGGCGAGAGGCGTAGCTGAAGGGCCTGCAGTAGCCCACCCAATGGAGAAGGACTGACAGGCTGGAGGGCGCAGCACAGGCAAGGGCCAGGGGTATGGAAGAGCGTGGAATGGGACTGAGACCCAGAGGCCCACAAGGCAGGAGGCTGGGATGAAGTCCTCGCACGCAGGATGATCCAGGTTGGTGGGATGTGGGCCCCTGGGGTGATGCAAGGGAGCCTCCTGGGCCAGATGGTGCTTTAACTCTATTCTGTGGGTTGAGAGGGTTTATGTGTTTTGGGAGTGGGGAGGTTACGGGAGTTAGTAGGGTTTGCTCCCAGGTTGGTGGATGTGGGAGCCCAGGAGTACCCCTCAGCCTGCAGGTGAGGGGGCCTCCTTTTCATTCTCATCCCCAGATTCTACTCTTGTTCAGGCAACAAGTGGGCAATTCATTTTTAGGCCTGGGTAGAAGTGAGAGGTGAGAGGTACTTGTCATATCCAGGGCTTGCCAGGTTGGGAGCACCTGACAAACTTGTGCAGATATTCCTTGGCTATTTCCCTGCATCAGATACAGACTTAGCTGGCAGCAACAAGAGGTGCAAACTCCACAGCCAGCCCTTCCAGTCTGGTCTGCGGCATCCTTCAGGCCTCCCAACCTCCTAGCAGGCAGAGGTGGAGGAGCATAGCCTGCCGGGGCCTGCCATGGGACTATCCAAGAGACATGGGTGGAGGGCTCTCCTGCGTTCCTGCTGTGTGTGCAGCAGTGTTGACCTTCAGAGCTCTGAGGGGTTCTCTGGGTTTACACAGCTGCTTTGGATCATCCTAATTTTTGTTTTATCTAGAATAAAAATAATCTTCATTGATTTCTCTATTTGTCAAAGCAGCTTATGCTTTCTTTTGCATTGATACTTTATAATACTGGAGAACGAAAGCAAGGCGTAGAAGATCCTCCCCACCTATCTCCCGGAGGTACCCTCTGTTGACATTTTGGAGTGTGTGCACTGTGGTCGGTATTGAACTCTATGGGATTTTGTCATGCATGCTGTTCCCTTAACGACTTCTCAGTATAAGAGTGCGCAGGTAGCTTTGTGTGATGTGATGGGACGCTCACAGTGTGGGAAGGCACTAATGGTCTCAGTGTCTGCTGAAGGCCCTGGGTGCTT